ATATTGCAATCCTCTTACAAACGTGCTGGAAATCCCACCAGCCCTCTGGGCGTAGGTGGTCTGGGGAGGCTCCTCTTCCAACCCCCTTCTTCCCCTTCGGGGGGGAGTTTACCCCTATCCTCTACCCCTGGACCTGGACGGGGGTGGTCGCGGGTAGTTGGAGCGTCCAAGATGGCCCAAGACGGCTCCAAGAGCGCCGCGGAAAGATTAAGATGACCTCTAAGATGGCTCAAAATACCGAAAGATGCCTCAAGATGGCATTCAAGGTACCCCGAGAAGCCCCAAGAACGCTCCAAGACGGTTCCCAGAGGCCTCCGAGAACCCCAAGGAGTTCCCCAAGAGGTCAAAATCCTTCAACAACCCAAGGAAACTCAATGAGTCTTGTTTTCTCGCCGTTTCGCTTCCGATGGCCATCCGAGGCCTCAGATGGCTCCAAGACGGCCCAAGAGGCCCCCAGGAGAGGCCCAGTACAGCCCCGAGGCGGCCCCAAGAGCGCCCCAAGAGCGCTCCAGGAGGGGTCTAGGAGGCGCTGTTCGGTGATCCCGAGGAGGAAGGCTCATTGGAGCTCCCCTCCTTGTTGATCGATGTCCCCCAAATGGCCCCAAGAGCGCCCTTGAATATCCAAAGAGCGCCCCAAGAGGACCCCAAGAGACGCCCAGACGGCCCCAAGAGGCCTCCAAGAGGCTTCCAAGATACCCATACGAGGCCTCAAGAGGGTCCCCGAGGTACCCAGCTCTCCCTCTTTCTCCTCCCCCTCCTCCTCCCCCTCCTCCTCCTCCTCCTCCTCCCCCTCCTCCTCCTCACCCTCCTCTTCCTCCGACGAACGCGACGATTCCTCCTCCATCCTCCCCCTCTTGGGGTATATGACGGCTTCCCCCTCCCTTTGTTCTTCTGCATGCTCCCCCATTTCCCTCATCACCTCAACTCCCCTGGGCATCGTTTCTGGACGTGCTGGTGGGGATACGCGAAGTGTCAACAAGTTCCTTTGTCGTGCAGCGTGGCCCAGGGAGCAGTATTCGCTGGCAGAAAGAATCCCCAAACACTATCCAGCGCGGCGAACATTGGTGGGAAACTAATCGATGGCCCCCGGCACGGGCGCCGACTACGACTACGACTACGATTACGACTACAACCACAGCTACGATTACGACTGTAAGAACGACTACAATCGCGATTACAATCGCGATTCCAACGACGACTACAACCACAACCACTGATACCTACGTATTGCGAACCTCATGAGAAGATGTTGAAAAACCATCTCGCGTGTAGGGTAACCAACAATGGATTATCCCCTGAGAGAAAGAACACCCGCACATTACCCAGCCCGAACAACAATAGACAGAGGGAAAAGCATCCCTGCCGCGACGACGACGACGACGACGAGGAGGACGAGGGGCGAGTTCATTCCCCGCCAAAGAAAAACAGAGGGGAAACTGAAGACCTCCTGAGGTTGAACGACCGCGCCGACGTCGTCGTGGCCCGAACCTGCCGTAGGTAGCACAACGTGCCCCACTTCCAGTGGGGACACATTCCTGCCGTGACGCGCCCGACATTGGTTTCTGACACCGCGTGGACCGTCCAACTGAGGACGATATGCAGCGTCTCCATCGCCAAATCGTTCGATGTCGCCAGATTCTGGGCCCCTCGCGGCGTTCAGCCTCGAATGCCCGCGGCAGGGTCACCGACGCGTCGACGTGCCGACACGACGCGAACCTTCCCTGACCTCACGGGGATCCGATGTCCTCAAAAGTCCCGCCCCTTCGCCAAGGCTGGCTTCTCTCATCGTGACCCGGAGCCAGGCGCGGGCCCGGAGCCCGGCGAGGGCCCCCAGAGGCCGAGCACGACGAACTCACCCCGTCCTGGTCTTTAACACGTTGGATGTATGGGCTTCTCCTCCTCCTCCTCCTCCTCCTCCTCCTCCTCCTCCTCGATCCTCGCTCCTCCTCGCTCCTCCTCCTCCTCCTCCTCCTCCTCTCCTCCTCCTCCTCCTCCTCCTCCTCCTCCTCCTCCTCCTCCTCCTCCTCCGCCTCGCCGCCTCGCCGCCTCCACCTCCTCCGCCTCCGCCTCCTCTTCCTCCTCGATCCTCCCCCTCCTCGATCCTCCCCCTCCCTCCTCCTCCTCCTCCTCCTCCTCCTCCTCCTCCTCCTCCTCCTCCTCCTCCTCTTCCTCCTCCTCCGCCTCCTCCTCCTCGATCCTCGATCCTCCTCGATCCGCGGTACACCTCGGTCCTCCGGTCGTGGGCCCTCTGGCTCCCGCGAGGCGCCTCACGGCCCTTTGTCGCGGCCTGGCCCTGCGTTCCTGCAGCCTCTCTGCGCCATGCAGGAGCCACTCCTCGGCGGAGCCGTGGGCCGGAAGCGCTCTACCCTCGGAGGAGGGCCAGCTGAGACATGGGCGGCCCTATGATGAGGAGCACGGCGGCCTCCTGGTCCTCCTCCTCCTCCTCCTCCTCCTCCTCCTCATCATCATCATCATCATCATCATCATCATCATCATCATCAGCAGCAGCAGCAGCATCATCATCATCATCATCATCGTCGTCGTCGTCGTCGTCGTCGTCATCAGCATCAGCATCAGCATCAGCATCAGCATCAGCATTAGCATCAGCAGCAGCATCAGCATCATCAGCATCAGCATCAGCATCAGCATCATCATCATCATCATCATCATCATAATCATCATCAGCAGCAGCTTCAGCATCATCGTCATTGTCATCGTCATCATCATCATCATCATCATCATCATCATCATCACCATCACCATCACAATCATCATCATCATCATCATCATCCTCATCCTCATCCTCATCCTCATCTTCATCCTCATCATCATCATATCACCATCACCATCATCATCATCATCATCTCCTCATCCTCATCCTCATCCTCATCATCATCATCATCATCATCATCACCATCACCATCACCATCATCTCATCATCATCATCATCATCCTCATCCTCATCCTCATCCTCATCCTCATCATCATCCTCATCCCTCATCATCATCATCATCATCCTCATCCTCATCCTCATCCTCATCCTCATCATCATCCTCATCATCATCATCATCATCATCACCATCACCATCACCATCATCATCATCACCATCATCATCATCCTCATCATCATCATCATCATCATCCTCATCCTCATCCTCATCCTCATCCTCATCCTCATCATCATCCTCATCATCATCATCATCATCATCATCATCATCATCATCCTCGGGGGAGGGCCGCCAATGCTTCAGCTGGCCCTCCTCTGATTCACCTACTTGCGCCCCGGGTGGGGGCTGTCCCACCTCGCCGCGTGCGGCAGCCGACAAAAAAATGGGCCATCGGATCGGTCGGGAGGCTGGGGCTGCGGCTCACCTCTGGTCGCCATCTCGAGGCCGAGAGAGGAGCAGCAGGAGCACGAGGATGAGGACGACGAGGACGAGGGGCGCCGCAAGGGGGGGCCTGCTCAGCGGGGGGGGGGGCCTCGGACCTTCACCGATGCACCAGCGATAGGCCCACGACGGCGCAGCCGCTCGCTCGGCAATGAACGTGCGGTCAGGGGCCGCTGTCCCCCCCCAAACAAAAACAGATCCCCCGCTCTTTCGGCGCCCCTGAGACGAGGTGGCCGATTGAGAACTACGCCATCGGCGTGATAATGTACACATAGAGCGGCGCCCGCGCTGGCCAACAACGGCGTGCGCAGCGCCAGCCGATTCGCTTCGCAAAAACCTCCAGGTGGATTCCCCTAGGTCCTGCACCTGGAGCAAGCCTCCCCCGCCTGTCCCCATGTCCCGTTCCCCCTCCTCCTCCAGAGGCCTCCTGGATGGGGCACAAGTAGAAAGGGGCCAGGGTGGGGGATCGCGCCGATGCATCGGCGACGCTGGAATGAAAATCGGGCTTCGGATCGCGCAACGATGCGGCGCGAACCTCCGACCCCACCTGCACCGTAAAACAGGGCTAGGATCGGGATAAATCGCTCCAGAGCGTTCCGGAGCGCTCTCAGAGCGTTCCGGAACGCTCTGGAGCGACCGCGGCGCCCAATACATCCTCCAAACCCGCCGATTCTCAGAGATTTCGAGTTATCCCGATCCGATGTTGTCCCGATCTTCGCGTCGTCTTACACCCGCCCCCTCTGGGCAGCCTGGGCTCCTCTCCCGTCCGCCCCTCCAGATTCCGCGGCGCACGCGCCTGGCCCGCGAACAACTCACGCACGCCAGTGGGAGACAAAGAGAGAGCACCTGCGCTCCGGCCGGCTGCTTGACAGGGAGGAAACATGTCCTGAGGGAAAAAGAACACGAAAAAAAAAGCCATAAGCATAGACTTTTGGCGCTCCGCGAGGGTTTCCTGGATCTTGGCACGCGGAGAGCGCCAGGGGGGCCCCGCAGGGGTCTAAGCAATCCGCGCGGAGCGCCGACAGCTTCTGTTTTTATGGCCGCTTTTCCTCCTTCGAGGGGACGGGCCGTTGAGCCTGGATCCTGGGGCTTGTGCCCCCGATCAGCGCTGCACGCCGAGACGCTTTCTGTGACAGCCCCGGGCCCTGTGGAGGGCCCAAGAATCACGAACGAACAACACACACCCATACCCATAGGCAGGTCGTTGGGAGGACTGGCTATGGGTATGGGTGCGGGTTGTCGGACCCTGGGGAACGCTCCCGCTCGAGCGGGGACCCCCATCCGACAACACGCACCCATAGCCCTCTCCGATCCCCCTATGGGTATGGGTGTGTGTTGTTGGTTCGTCCAAGAAGGACAGCAGCGGGCGAGAAAAGCCTCGGGGAGCACTTTTCCCTCGGGACCCTCCTCCCTGGATGGCGAGCTGCCCACAGGCGGCCTCGGAGGCGTGCCGGTGTGGCCCTGTACTGCGGCACCGGCACGCTCCAATTAGGTCGGGCATGTCCCCCTACATGCGGATTTTGGACAAAGAATGAAAAAGAGTCCAAGCATATTGAAAAAATATTTAAAAATACCCCCAACGTCGTCCCCGGACTATTTTTTACTACTTTTGCATACTCCTCCTGCAGAGGGACAGGCCCGACTTAACGCTCCACGCTCACGCCGCCTGCTCCGTCGCCTCCGTGATGATGACCCAGCCAGACTGCAGCTCTGGCTCGGAGAGCGGGCGAGGCGAGAGCACTGCCTCGCCGCCGGCGCGGGCGGGTGGCTGGAACCTCTTCAGTGCAGCACCCGCGGGCGGCTGCAGCCCAGCAGAGACCTTGCCGCTGACATTCGAGCCCGTCTTGCGCTCGAGCTTGGCCTTCAGCTCCTCGCGGCGATGCTCCTCGGCCTCCTTGACCCTCCTCAGCGTGCCCTCGACGGCCTCCGCGTGCTTCTTCGCCTTCTGGCTGACCTGAGCCAGCACCTCTTTGCGCTTCTCGAGGGCGTGGCTGGGCTCGAGCTTGGCCTTCAGCTCCTCACGGCGTTGCTCCTCGCTCGCCTGGACCCTCCGCAGCTTGTCCTCGACGGCCTCCGCGCGCATCTTCGCCTTCTGGCTGACCTGAGCCAGCACCTCTTTGCGCTTCTCGAGGGCGTGGCTGGGCTCGAGCTTGGCCTTCAGCTCCTCACGGCGATGCTCCTCGGCCTCCTGGACCCTCCTCAGCGTGCCCTCGACGGCCTCCGCGTGCTTCTTCGCCTTGTGGCTGACCTCAGCCAGCAGATATTTGCGCTTCTCGAGGGTGTGGCTGGGCTCGAGCTTGGCCTTCAACTCCTCGCGGCGATGCTCCTCGGCCTCCTGGACCCGCCTCAGCTTGCCCTCGACGGCCTCCGCGTGCCTCTTCGCCTTCTGGCTGACCCCAGTCAGCACCTCCTCGCGCTTCTCGAGGGCGTGGCTGACCTTCTCCTTGAGCCAGTCGCTCAGGCTACGGGCACGCTCCACCTCCTTGGCCCTGGCGCACTCCGCCGCCTGCCTCTTCGCCTCGTTCTCGATATGCAGCTTGGCAGCGCGGCCCTCGCTCAGGAGGCGAGGCGACGAGTCCCCCGCGGGGCTCCTCGGCTGGCCCTCCTTCACGGGCGTGCTGACGTAGCCTTCCAGGCGCGCGCGGGCCTGGGACTGCACACCGGTGCGCGGGGTGCTCTTGAACTGGTCAGTGAGGTCGAAGGCGATCCCGAACGCGCTCCTCGCTGGGGAGAGGAGCTTCATGCCCTCGAGGCCTTCGAGGTCAAGGGACGGCGAAGACCTGATGATCGAGCCAGACACTGCCTCGCCGCCGGCACGGGCGGATGGCTGGACCTTCTTGGATGCAGCAGCCACAGGAGCCTCCAGGACCTGGAGTCGTCCAAGATCTCTCACTCCAAGACGGGCTCCAAGGTCTCCGACGGCGGCGTCGGAGACCTTGCCGCTGACCTTCGATCCTGTCTTGCGCTCGAGCTTGGCCTTCAGCTCCTCGCGGCGATGCTCCTCGGCCTCCTGGGCCCTCCTCAGCTTGCTCTCGACGGCCTCCGCGTGCTTCTTCGCCTTGTGGCTGACCTCAGCCAGCACCTCCTTGCGCTTCTCGAGGGCGTGGCGGGGCTCGAGCTTGGCCTTCAGCTCCTCACGGCGATGCTCCTCGGCCTCCTGGACCCTCCTCAGCGTGCCCTCGACGGCCTCCGCGTGCATCTTCGCCTTCTGGCTGACCTCAGCCAGCAGATCCTTGCGCTTCTCGAGGGCGTGGCTGACCTTCCCCTTGAGCCAGTCGCTCAGGCTACGGGCACGCTCCACCTCCTTGGCCCTGGCGCACTCCGCCGCCTGCCTCTTCGCCTCGTTCTCGATGTGCAGCTTGGCAGCGCGGCCCTCGCTCAGGAGGCGAGGCAACGAGTCCCCCGCGGGGCTCTTCGGCTGGCCCTCCTTCACGGGCGTGCTGACGTAGCCTTCCAGGCGCGCGCGGGCCTGGGACTGCACACCGGTGCGCGGGGTGCTCTTGAACTGGTCAGTGAGGTCGAAGGCGATCCCGAACGCGCTCCTCGCTGGGGAGAGGAGCTCCACGACCTCGAGGCCATCGAGGTTGGCAAGCGCAGCCGACATGATGGCGTCGACGGCCTCGACCACGAACGCTGCAGACATGGTGGCGAGGCTCTGGCCTGCGGCCGTTGTCGGGAGCGGCCAAGAGGGGGGTGTCCAAGAGGGGGGGGGTGCACATCATGACCGGCGGCATGTGCGCGGCCCAGCGGGGGGGGGGCCAGGGACGTAACTAGCGAAAGAAGAAGGGGCGCCATGAAATCTGGGGAAACATCATGGCCCACGCCAGGATATCCACCCCCTCCTAGCCATCCCCCCCTCTTTGCCGCCCCCGACGTTGGCAGGCGCGCGAGGGGGCCGGGTACCGTGGGCCGCTATCGGGCGGTCTTGCTTTGGAGGGGTGCTCGGGCCAAAACGGCTCGGGGGCGGAGGAGTGCTTGCCCTGCTCACTCCATGCCGGGCCGCTCGGCACCACTCCCCGGCCTGCCCTGCTCACCACGGGGTGCTCCTCCTGCGCGAGCGACGACCCAGGGGCCGACGACGAGCACGTCTCCAGGCGGGAGCCCTCCGCGCGGCCGGACCTGCAAGCGCACAGGACAGTCAAGAGCTGGGGGAAGGAGGAAGGGTCGGCTACGCGCAGTAGTGCCCCTGGGCAAGTGTGACCTTCGGTGCGCGGCTCAAGGGGGGACGCGGGGTGGCCAAACCCAGGCGCGCAAGCCGCTGCTACCGCTTCGCGCTCAGCGATGAGGGGGCCCCATTGGGCCCGCACCAAAGGTCACTCCGGCGAAAGGTCACTCTTACGTCTAGTCACGTCGACAGGGCCGATGGTCGGGCCCGAGAGCGTGGCACCACAGGCACCATTCAGGATGCGCCTGCTTTTAGCTGCCTCGGGAGGTGGAGGAGCCGGATGGTGGGGGGACGAGGAGGCCAAGGCGTCTCCGGCGGCGCGCGCGAGGATGTGGCGCGCGAGGGGGCGGCCTCCTGAGCTGGCAGGGGTCCTCGTGGAAAAGGCTCGGAGCCCTTCGAAGAGAATCCCTCGGGGCCCCCAAGCCTGAGGCCGGGCATGTCCTCCTACAGGCGGATGTTGGACGAAAAATTTAAAAAACGATTCAAAAGATACTCCAAAACAATCAACAATAGCAGAACATCGCCCCGAAACTGTGTTTACTCTATTTTTATACTATTTGTTGAATATTCCTCCCGTCGAGGGACGGGCCCGACTTGCCCCCAGGCCGTGTGGTGACGCACCGCGCGGCGGCCTCGGAGGCCCCCCCCCCCACGCCCTCGCCGCGCGGTCCGTCGCCGCAGGGGTGGCTGGGGGGCCTCGGAGAGAGACCCTCCGTCGCCCGAGGGGCACCCTCGGCGAACGCCTCTCGGGTCCCAAAAGCCGCGCGGGTGGCCTCCGAGTCCCCACCGACCCACCGCGCGGCGCGGTCGCCACGCCGTCTGGGCCCCCCCCCCGAGCTTCTCTTTTGGAAGGCTGCGGGGCTTCGCGCTTCGCCCCCCCGCCTCCTTGGAAGGGCCGCGCTCCTCGCAGAGGCACGCCTCCGCCCGTGGCACCCCTTCGCCCAGGCGCCCCTCCTCCGCGGCCCCAGGTCGGGGGTGGCTGAAGGTGCCCCTGGCCCTTGGCCCAAGGTGCCCCCAGCTTCTCGCTCGATGCTGGAGCCCCTGGGGCCCTCTGGGCCTCGTGAAGGGTGCGCTGGAGGCCGTGGGGGCCTCCCTGGAAGTCCTGGGGACGCCCTGGGCCCAGGGGCACTACTAGCACCACCCGAAGAAGGCGTCCCGAGCGCTTCTCATCGGGGGCAGGCTTCCGCCCCGGATCTGTTTCTGATGGCCCCAGGGCCCGACAGCGGGGCCCGACGGCCGAGATCGAGGAACCATGTCTGTGTCGGCGGCTAGGCAGAGTCACGGCGCTGGCGAATGGAGCAAAACGGGGCGGGCGTGAAGCGAATCGTGCCACCATGCAAGAGGGGGGGGGGGGGCAGGACGGCGGGGCGACGGCCGGTGGGGGGAGAAGCAGACGAGGAACTACGCCCAGATTGCAAAACAACTCGGATCATCGAAGATCTGGACAGCGCGCGCGCCGCCGACGTCCACCGGCAGACGGACAGGCCCCCCCACACACACACACACACACACACACACACACACACACACACACACACACACACACACACACACACACACACACACACACACACACACACACA